TGCCAGGTGTGGCAGTGCCAGGTGTGGCAGTGCCAGGTGTGAAGGTGCCAGCTATGGCAGTGCCAGATGTGGCGGTGCCAGCTGTGAAGGTGCCAGGTGTGGCCATGCCAGGTGTGGCAGTGCCATCTGTGGAGATTCCAGGTGTGAAGGTGCCAGGTGTGAAGGTGCCAGGTGTGGCGGTGCCAGGTGTGGCCGTGCCAGATGTGGCAGTGCCAGGTGTGGCAGTGCCAGGTGTGGCAGTGCCAGGTGTGAAGGTGCCAGCTGTGAAGGTGCCAGCTGTGAAGGTGCCAGGTGTGAAGGTGCCAGGTGTGGCCATGCCAGGTGTGGAGATTCCAGGTGTGAAGGTGCCAGGTGTGGCGGTGCCAGGTGTGGCCGTGCCAGGTGTGGCCGTGCCAGATGTGACAGTGCCAGATATGGCAGTGCCAGGTGTGGCTGTGCCAGGCTCCACTGCACCAGGTGCTCCCCCGGACTGAACTGTCCCTCACCCTCCTGCCGCACACCGCGGCGCCCAGGCAGGAGGAGAGGGAGGTTCCTGCTGTGGCTCACTCAGCTCAGGTATTTCAGGAGACGTTGGATAATTCACCTCTGCCATCGGGCACTGGCGGATTCGCCCCCGCCCTCCCCGGTCACTCCCTGCAACCTCTTGGCACTGGGAACGTGCCAGGACCGAGTCCAGCTGATGGACAACACCAGGAACTCACCACCAAGGGACCCCAGGGGCTTCAGCTGGGCCATTTGGGCACAAATTCTTTTCCGCACTTCAGATTTGGTTGATTTAGTTTTGTTTTACCTTTGGCTCTGGATGGCCACAGCCTTCACCTACAAATGAACTGATTCAGGAAGAAAAGCTGGTGGTGATAAAGACACATCTACAGTCCCACATTCCGGGTATTTTGGGGGGAAAAAAATCATTCCCAGTAATCTGGGGAGGGGGAAGAAGCAGGGGCAGGGGAGCAGGGGTCGTATTCAGGGGGCTGATGCCGTGCTCTGGTCACACACATTCGCCCCTGGGCTTTAACCTTTTCTTAACCTTTACCCATCAGAAATAGAAGAGGAAGACACCAGAAGAGCATATGAATCAGTAATGAAAAATATCCACGCCTCAGAAAAGGCAAAATGCCAGAATCCATAAATTCAGTCAGAACTTTGCTGTTCCAGTCTGTTTTCCACAAGGAACCACCATGATGGCTGGT